GGGGGAGTCAAGGCCAGGACTGGGCAGACTGGACGTGACGCCGGGTCCTGCGCGGGCCCTGTGCCCGGAAGGAGCTTGTTAGGGCGACTGGTGAAAGCAGCGGGAACTGAGGTTTCGGTGCAGCTTTTAAATTTCCTAATTTTGCTCGTGATGTTGTGGTTATGCAGGAACATGTCCTTGTTGGTAAGAAAACCAGACAAAATCATTTGAAGGTGATGTTGCTTGAGGTTACAGCGTAGTTTCAAAATGGTAAAAAACATCTTTTTAAGTCTGTGGAATTCTCGCCTGCGTCCGTGCATCCAGGCTCGCTGTCGGAGGCCGTGAGTGTCATGAATAAAGCCTTTCACTGTGGTAGACGACAGTGGACATTCAGAGGCCAGGCAAGAGCAGATGCGGAGATAGTGCTGCTCTGTGCACTTGTTGCTCGCTCACGCATGCAGCCCTCGCTCGGGGCCTGTGCTCGGTGGCGGAAACACGATGGAAGTGAGGCAGCTGTGCCCCTGTACGGCTGTGTGGTCACGTGAACTCGGCCTCCTGTGGAAGGAGGAGAAGGCTTTCCGCGGAAGGATAGTGTGGACAAGGGCTTCCCCTGCCCGGGGGTCTGGTTGGTGTGTTCAGGGGCCAGGACAGGTAGGCCGGGGCGGGGGGGTCACATGTTGAAAATCCTGATCACCGGCCCACCCGGCGGAACAGGCTTTGAAGCTCCGTCACACTGAGCTGCCCCAAGTGCACGTGCGAGCCGAGCCCAGCTCTCAGCTGGGCCTTGGACACTGGCTCGCTCCCAGCCATGGCCCCCTAGTCCCTCGTTTACAAATGAGGACGCAGCTGTAGCGTGAAAGAACTGGAGCCAGTCTGACTGCACAGCAGTCACCTGAGGATCCCCGATTCCCAGGGACACCCCATCCCTCCTGAATGCGCTTCTCCACGGGGAGGTCCGGAAATGGTAATTGTGGACGATTCCCAGGGAGTTTGGACAGGTGGTCCCACTGCGGGAGACGGCCCCTCTGTGCGCTGGGTGAGCCCCTTCCATGAGCATTGGACGGATGTGGGATTTAGGACTTGCTGTTGGATGGAGGGAGGAGGGAAGAGCCTGGATGGAGAAAGCAGCCGAGTGGCTCTGGGCCTGGGTGGGGTGTGCAACACCTGGAGGGCTTGTCGTCTGGGCAGCGGTCTGGGCAGGGCCTGAGCGTGGGCCTTCTCACAGTGCCAGGGGCCGCTGCTGCTGAGGGACCCACTGCAGGAACCACTGAGGTGGACGGCAGCCGGCCGCTTAAGCATTTTAGTTATTTTTTATTTTTATGTTTTTTAAAAATTATTTTATGTTTTCATCACCGTTTATCCTTTCTATGCCCTCTTCCATCTCCAGTTCTATTTTTAAAAGTTTGTTTTTGTGCTAAAATACACAAACCAGGAAATTCACCTTGTAACCCTTGTTGGGGGCCCAGGTCGGTGGCATTAGGCTCATTCACATGGTTAGGCAGCCGTCGCCACCATCACCTCCTGGACTTGCCATCTTCCCACTGGGACTCTGCCCCCATTCCCTCCTCCCTCCCGCCCCAGCCCTGGCACCAGCATCTGCTCTCTGTCTCGGGGCCTCGCATACGTGGCATCGCTCAGCGTTGTCTTGCTGTGTCTGGCTCATCCCGCCCCCTCCAGGCTCATCCCGCCGCCTCCAGGCTCATCCACGTGCAGTGCGGTCCAAATCCCCTCCTTGCTCAGGGGCATTGACCGTGTGGGTGGACCCCTTTCGCTGACCACTCCCGCATCGATGGACACTGGGCGGCTTCCACTGGGGCTGCTGTGAATAATGCTCCGTGAACGTAGGCGCCCAGCAGGGGTGGGGGGCGTCCGGCCCACGGGCTGTATAAAGAAGGCCCTCGAATCATGTGGTCTGGCCCTGCCACGGCATCGGGGGTGAGTTGATTAAATGTTTGACCAAATACAGCAGGCTGAGTTTTAAGTGGATAATTGTGTATGCCCTGCGAGTGATGTTATAAATATCCAAGCGGCCCTTGGCAGGAAAAGGTTCCCCACCCCCGGCGGACAGTTACTGTGGAGTCCCTGCTTTCAGTCCCTTTGGGCGAACACCTAGAGGTGGGGTTGCGGGTCCTGTGGCAGCTCCGTTGGATTGTTGAGGACCCAGGTGCTGTTTCCACAGCTCCCTCACAGGGCAGGAACCGGCCTGGCTGGACCCAGTCAGCTGGGGAAGGAGACGGGGAGGTGACTGAGAGATGTGGCGGCTGTCACAGCACCGCCCTGGGGGCCCTCCTGGGTCTCCCGCCCACAGCGAGCCGCAAGGTGTCAAGGCCAGTGACCGGTCAGTCGGAGCCCCGCTGGCCTTTGCCACCTGCGTGTGAGAGCAGACACGTGCCAAGCTCTCTGGACATGAGCCAGGGCTGAGGGTCATCCTGGCAGTGCCCCGCCAGGCTCCCAGTCTGCTGGCCCCGCAGCTGCCCAGGACCACGGATGTCCGGCCTGCCTCACTCCGCCCTTGGAGCTGGACGGGCCCTCCCCGTCCGTTAGGACGCGCCACATCCCTCAGAGACTGCTCTCTCCTGGCCCTGTGCAGGCCTCCGCTCCCCCTCCGCCACCTCAGTGCTGGTGCCCGGGAGCCGCAGCTCCATGCGGTGGGCCTCTGGACGCTTCCATCTCTCAAAGGAAATCCCCGCTGCTCCTCTGCCCCCCATCCCCCAGGCCTGGCTGCAGAGCAGGGGGAGGGGGGGATAAAGCTGCCTCGGAGTGCTTCCCAGCCCAGACCCCCGGGAGAAGGGTGTGGGTGGGGGGTTGCTGCAGCTGTGCAGCTAAAGATAGCAGCCGCTTTGCGTTTGCGGACACTGAACTGCATCCTCCGTCCCGGGCAGAGGTCAGTGCCACCGTGCCCTTACCGGACCCAGCGCCTGGAGTGGAGAGGGTGGGCGCCTTTGTCCGGACAAGAGCAGCCCCGTCGGCCTCCCTCTGCTGGTTTCAAGCACCAGGACGCATTTGGTCCGCCGCCTCCTGTGTGTCATCAGCATGGCGCTCTGGTGTGGGGACAGGCCTCGGGGGCCGCTCAGCCTCCGTTTATTCTCCTGTCCCACAAAGTGTGTGGCTGGGCTGCTCCTGCCGGTGGGAACTGCTAGGGCAGTGATGGCGAACCTCTGAGCTCGGCGTGTCAGCATTTTGAAAAACCCTAACTTAACTCTGGTGCCGGGTCACATATAGAAATTTTTTGATATTTGCAACCATAGTAAAACAAAGACTTATATTTTTGATATTTATTTTATATATTGAAATGCCATTTAACAAAGAAAAATCAACCAAAAAAATGAGTTCGCGTGTCATAGGTTCGCTATCACTGTGCTAGGAGGTGAGGTGAGGTGACCTTGGCATGCACTCCCATGGGGACTTCCTGTCATGTGGTTTCTATTCTGTCTGGACAAAGCCCTTCGAGAGGAGGCTTACCGATGGAGGGGCAGAAGCTGATAGGATGAGGCTCTCACAGCCAGGGTCACTGAGCCAGAATCGGAACCCAGCTCTGGGGCCACTGACGGCTTCCTGGAGGAGGTGACTGTGTCCTGTGGAGGAAGCTAACAGCGTCATAGCAGTAACAGGCGTGGGCCACCATGGAGGGAACACAGACCCACGCCGGGCACTGGCCAGCTGCACAGGCATGACCGCACTTAACTGTCCTCACCGTGCTGTGCAGTAGGTCGTGCATTACCGTCGTAATTCAGAGGAGGCGGCTGAGGCACAGAGGCTAAGCATTGTGTTCCAGTTGTCAGCTCCTAAGGGGTGGAGCCAGGACAGGAACCCCAAAGGCTGCCCCAGAGCCCTTGCACCCAGAGAAGGCATTTCCAGCAGGGGAGGGGCGGGGACGGGTCTGCAAGGCCCCTGGATGGCAGGAGGAGCGTGGCTAACGCTGGCAGGTGTGCACTGCCCAGACCTTCAGATTTTGTAGACCATTCATGTTGAAAGGAAATTGCTGACGTTAGGTTCGCCACGTAAGGATAGTGAAAAATGTTTAAAGGCCAATTAGCTATCACCATTTCACAAAGAGAAAGGTGATCTTAAACACACCCAGATAGTAAGGATGAGGGGCCGTCCTTTCAGTGGCAAAGTTTAGCTTTCAGGAAAGTCTGCGTCGGCCTCCCTACGTTTTTACATTTCACCCTAGATGGTGGCCAGCCCCGTGTGAGAGGCCTGGTTCCCTGATGGGAGCCTCTAAAGGTTTTGTCCGTTGAGTCCCTGTGTGGGGGTGTCCAGGTCAGAACGGTGGCAGTGGCTCTGGTTGGAACCCGGAGGAGAGAACCCTGAGCCAGCCCCACTGGTGGGAGCCGCCGACCTTGTTGACGACGATTTCTCTGGACTGTGTGCATCCTCTTCCTGGTCAGGTGCTGGAGGCCATTATGGGGAGCCGTGAGGAGGCAGGAGGGAGGCCAGGCCCCAGAGCACTTCTCACTTCCTCTCCTGGAGGCGGCGTCTGGCCAGAGTCCAGGGATCTTGGAAAGGAGACCTCCTGGGACTCGCGTGTCTTAGAGACACCTTACCCTTTTCAAAGGACTTTAGAGAAGCAGCACACCTGTCTCTGTCTTTTTCCGAAGATGGGAGTCTCTTTTCTTCTAAGAGAACGTGAAGGAAGGAACAAACCTGGAACCCGGCTTCCGTAGGCTTTGGGCTGCGTCCCCGCTGTCACTGTGTGTGGAGGGTGGGGAGGCAGGGGGGCACTTCAGGACAGTGTGTTCCCTGTTTAGGTTGTACTTGAGTTGAATTTTCTCTCCAAATCTCATTCCCCAAGTTCTGTTGCTTCTGCCTCCCCACCCATCCATCCAGATCAGAGAAACACTTTGGCCTTGGCACACGTGCGGGAGAGCCGGCCCCAGGGGTCTGCTGCTGTCCGGAGTGTTGCCGCCGTGCGGTGACAGGACGCATCTCACACTCGCAGGAGGCGGGCAGTGCTGCGTGACCATGGCCCGTGGAAGACCAGAGGAGGCACTGGGCTGAGCGGCAGGTGCCAGCTCGCCGTGGAGCGCGGAGGCCGGCGCTCAGTCAGTCACGTTAGATGCCCTTCCTCAGGTGGAGCTTCACGGCACCGACTCCGTTAGAACCAGAGCTGTGCTGTCCGTGGCTGGTCCACGAGGACCCTCCTCTCCATTGCACAGGTCTTGAGGATTAGGGTCTGTGTTTTCCTGACTCATTCAGGGGTGTGGTGCCCTGAGGGGCGCTTGTCTTTCGGAAATCGCTGAGCCCCAGGTCCTGGTGAGGCTTAGTTGCCCTGGGCAGTGGCTGAGGCTGTTCTGGGAGTGCCCGGCTCCTGTCCCTCTGATCTGTGGCTTCACATGGAGCATCCGAGAGCAAAGTCCCCTCTGTAACCTAGAGACAGCCGGTGTCAGCACAGTGCCCACCGCTGGCCCTCCTGCCTGCCGGCCCAGGAGACACCTGGTGAGCATTGGAGGGGTCGGAGCTGCCCCACGTGGCCCACGCATCCGCCGCCCTGGGGCTGCCTTGCTGCCTGCGCTCTGCTCCCAGAGTGCTGACGTTGATGGAGATAAGCGAAAACAGGAGCAGATCATCTCGGTTTGGTCAGGTACCCTTGATTAGCCAGAAGCCTTCTGTTCTTCCCGGATTTAAGTTTCACCCGAATGTGGTGCTCTGCGCTGCTGAGGACGCAGAGGCAGATTGCTGATGCTGAGGTTCGGGGGAGCGGCAGGCTCGCTGGGAGGGCAGCGGCACCCAGCTTCCTTGCCCGGGAGGCCCCTGCAGACGATCCTTACTCTGTAGCAGCTGCAGCTTTGGGGAGCCGATGGGCTAGGCCCGACGTGCCTGTACCACCACCCCCGCGGGCAGCCAGAGGTGGGGCGTGGCCAGCCGGGTCACAGAGGCAGTAGATGCTGGGGGTGCTTGTGGTTTGGTTTTGGTTTTTCTTTTTGGACCACATGCTTCCTGGGAAAATACAACGAACAGAGTTGAGGCTCTTGACTTTTTAAAGAAAGTATGTAAATTTCATCCCCATGAGACCAGGACCGAGTTCTAGCTCAGACCTTCCCTTTGCTCACGGTAGGTCCCAGCATGGCCTTCTTTGTTCCTGTGTCGTAAGCCCCGCCCTCGGCACCACCGTGCTGGGCCGGAGTGCCTGCAGGGGCCGGGGCCCTGACTGGGGCCTCAGCTGTAGGGTCTGGTCACCGCACCACAAACACTTCCCTCTTGGCCATGCCCACCTTGTCATCAGCCCAGCCGCATGGAGTGGCTGGTTTCTTGGGTTCCAGTTTGGCCTTTGGGGTACAGAAACCAGCCCGATGTTGCGGGGTGAGTGTTGCTGGGCGGAAGGCAGCGTGTGTCAGGAGAGCAGGCGGCGCGGGTGGAGGCTGTGGGCGCTGAGTGCTGCTGGGGCGCTTGCTTTCTGAAGTGGCTTTGGCGGTTGAGCTAAGGAAGAGGTCTCTTGGCAGAAGGAAGGATTGAGGGAGCTGTACAGTTTCCTCCCATTAATAACCTGATGTGCGGGTGACCTCGCAGAGTACTTCACTGAGCGACTGAGAGCCCGCCCCTTTCGGAGGCACTTCCAGCCAGGGAGTGTCAGCCACAGGGGCGGGGCCCTGCCGGTGCCCAGAGGCGGACAGCACGGTAGAATGGGGTCCCTCTTGTAGCCAGGGAACCTGGCATGAACTCTGGACCACTCTCTTCTCTAGTCTGGGAATGAGGAGGTTAGACTGGGAGGAGCAGGGCACCTGGTGCTCTGTGGCCTTGCCCACCCGTGTCCCTTCACAGACAGACAACCTTCCACCTCACATGCAGCACCAGGTGGGCCCTGCTAGTCTATTTCAGGAACCAGGAGCCAGTTCAGATCTCAGAGGAGGACTCCAGTCTCAGCTCTGTCGCCGGGTCCGCTGAGGCCTGGCGAGTGTCCACATCTCTGGATTCACTTTGTCCAGGAGAGGGCGTGGACTGTGTGGGGAGGGGTCATGATGGGACAGGAGTCCAGGTCGCCTTGGGGAAAGGTTGAGGGGATTTGTGGGAACCCTGAGTCTGACCCTCTGGCTTTGGGAATGACTCTGACCTTTGTCGTTGTAGGAAGACATGGCTGCCCACGTAGGGGCCTCCCGGACTCCCCAGGAAGTGATGGAGCATTACGTAAGCATGTACATCCACGGCAACCTGGGGAAGGCCTGCATCCCCGACACCATCCCCAACCGGGTGACCGACCACACCTGCCCCAGTGGAGGCCCCCTCTCTCCCAGCCTCACCACCCCCTTGCCTCCCCTAGACATCTCGGTGGCCGAGCAGCAGCAGCTGGGCTACATGCCGCTGCGCGACGACTACGAGATCGAGTACGACCAGGACGCCGAGACGCTCATCAGCGGGCTCTCGGTCAACTACGACGACGACGACGTGGAGATCGAGCTCAAGCGCGCGCACGTGGACATGTACGTGCGGAAGCTGCGGGAGCGGCAGCGGCGCAAGAACATCGCCCGCGACTACAACCTGGTGCCGGCCTTCCTGGGCAAGGACAAGAAGGAGCGCGAGAAGGCGGCCAAGCGCAAGATCACCAAGGAGGAGCGGGAGCTGCGGCTGAAGCTGCGGCCGCTCTACCAGTTCATGTCCTGCAAGGAGTTCGACGACCTGTTCGAGAACATGCACAAGGAGAAGATGCTGCGCGCCAAGATCCGGGAGCTGCAGCGGTACCGGCGCAACGGGATCACCAAGATGGAGGAGTCGGCCGAGTACGAGGCGGCCCGGCACAAGCGGGAGAAGCGGAAGGAGAACCGGAACTCGGCGGGCGCCAAGCGCGGGCGGGAGGACGCCAAGGACGGCGAGTTCGCCGCCATCGAGAACCTGCCGGGCTTCGAGCTGCTGTCGGACCGCGAGAAGGCGCTCTGCAGCTCCCTGAACCTGAGCCCCGCGCGCTACGTGACCGCCAAGACCATCATCATCAAAGACCACCTCCAGAAGCGCCAGGGCATCCCCTCCAAGAGCCGCCTGCCCAGCTACCTGGACAAGGTCCTGAAGAAAAGGATTTTAAACTTCCTCACCGAGAGCGGGTGGATATCCAGGGACGCCTCCTGAAGCGGGCGGAGCCCGGGGCGCTTGTGAGCCAAATGACTGGGAGGGTGGGACAGCAACTGCTTTCCCCCATGGTTGTTTTTTCAGCAAATTGAGTTTCTTTTTTAGGATGTAAGTTGTTCTCGTGGCCCTCTGGAAGAAGCAATAGTAACAGTCTTAGATCAGATCAGGAGGGAAGCAGATGCAGGCATATTGTACCTTAGTGCTAAAAGCAATGCGCTAAGATGACGCTTGCCTTTGTGTTGAGTGTGGAGAACGTGGAGATGGGAGCGGCCCCGGGAGCCCCTTCGCTTCGGTGCACACCTGTGCTGGCCGCCGGCTGCCAGCCTTGCCTGTGACACTGGCTCCGGCGCGGGGCGCGGGGCACCGTAGATGGCGCCGGGCAGGTGGGCAGTGAGGCCAGAGGGCAGGGTCAAGCTTCCTTGGACCGTGAGGAAGAGGCTGGTAGCGAACAGAGACCAAATGAGCTCCCCCTTAGCTACTGGCAGCTGCAGTTTGAGTTTGCAGTTCCCAGACCCTGAAACTACCCCTTTTGCGCCCGCTGGGCAGAGCCCCTCCCCCCCTTCAGTTTGGAAATGGGCAGCGCCCCCTAGCGTAGAGGGTGGCTGTGGGAAGCGTGGCAGCCAGGACCAGTGCAATGGCCAGGACTGAGCCCTTTCCTGGGGGGCAGCTGCTGGCTGCTCTTTGGACTTACGTGCATTTTACTTGCAAGCCCTTGTTTTAGGAAGTTCATGGCTAAGTTGTGTTCTGGTGTTGGTGTCTCACAGCTACAAGTACCTTTTTCAGGGAAACCCTGACCACACCAGCCTGGCCAAGCCTCTGACCTTCAGGTGGCCTTGTACCCTGCAGACTAGCCAGGCGAGACGGGCCGGCCCATGTGGCCGTTGGTCCCAAGGCCCCCGTGTTGCTGCTGAGTCACTGACTTAACCAGACTCAGACCCGGCTCTGCCCAGCCCTCGCTAGAGGTCTCCTCAGGGGCCTCTTACACGGTACCTCCCTTTGGCACTTGGGTGGCCGTTTGTCTTCCGGGCTGCTCAGGGTTCTCTCGTCCAAGACCCGCTCAGAGTCGGTGGTGACTGCAGACCCAGCCGCCTGCCGGCCCCGGGCCCGCTTCTGGCCCGCACAGTGATGGAGAGAGGACCTCTCAGTGTTTGGGCTTGACGTTACATTAAAGTGAAGTTTGAAAAAGACCCTCATTTCCAAGGATGACCTCATTACGGTGCCTTTCCCTTCCTTTCTACATCTCTGTCCCCGAGGGTAGTTCTCAGCGTTGGCGGAAACATCTCAGGTGGGTTGTGTGCGGCTGTGTAAAGCGCAAGGCCTGCGGCAGAGCGCTCCTTGCTGGCTAGGCCAGGACTTCTCGCTGACACGTGTGAGCGGTGGTGTCACGCGTGAGGGCCACCTCCACCGCCCTGCGGGTGACTGCCCTCCGTGGGGCTGGTGTTGCCACTGGCTACGAGGGAGGCAGTGCTGCCTTACCGCTGCTTAGCCAGGCCCTCACCCAGGGTTCCTGGACCAGCAGCAGCAGCCCCCAGTCCTGGGCCCACGGAGCCCCTTGTGCCAGCCTCCAGGCGGCTGGGGTGCAAGCTAACCTTTGAGAACCGCTGGCTTTAGCTGACCTGGTGTCGTCCTTCGTGGGTTTTCTGTCAGATGCCTCGTCTGGTGAGGTTTAGATGTCGTCTTATTTTTCTATACAGGGGTTGCCAGGCTTCATTAAGCTGGAGAAGCAGGCGCCCCAGTAGCTGTGGCCAGTCGAGAGCTGCAAGTGAATGCGTGGTGCTGGAGGTTTGAGGGTGCTTATCTTTTGATGGCGTGATATTTAGGCGTGGCTGTTTTAAAACACCACAATGAATGTATAATTTATGTTAAAGTGTTACCTTGGTTATAAGGGGAAGTGATTTTGATTGGTTGCCTTTATCCCGTCCACTCCTGTTGCCAGTCTTTGCCCCTGCTGTTAGCAGAGCCTTGACATTTCTGTATTTAATTTTCATAAGTTAAGTTACCACAATCCCAAGAATTAGGTCTTCAAAATTTAAACTCCAACCTTTGAGCCCAGTTCCATAACTCAACTATTCGGAATCCTCTCTGGATGCAGCGTTTCAGGAATGTATTTAAGCCGACCTGACCGTTTTTACTGCCCTTTCCTTATTAAACAAGTTGCGAACAAAACGGTGTCACTCACTGCTTCTTAGCACCTGCTCCGCGAGCCCGAGGCAGCCTTTCAGGGCCGCTCTCAGACGCGGGTGGGGGCAGCACGGGCACGTTAGCTGGCACTTGTCAAACCAGCTTCTTCAGACTCAGCCTTGCTTTGTTAAGAGGAAACCCTCATGCCAGTCCTTGCTCCCTGTAAGGCACCAGCAAAAGCATGTCCATGGAGCAGGCCGGGCTGCCAAGGGCTGTCAGTAGACGGAGCGCTGCCTGGACTGTCTACACTGTACGTGTCCCCAGGCTGCGCCTAAGCCAAACCCAGAAGCGTGGATGTCTGACCACTCTAATTTCTAGTGTAAAGCCGTATCGCAGGTCCTCAAATGTTTGTTACAATGTTGAGATGCTGTAGGAACCCGGTAGCCTAAGGTAAAATTGCCTTCATTTGATGTGGTTTCCCTCCGTCTCAACCTGTGGACTCACTCAGGATGTGCTGTGCATGGTGGTGTCCCCGTGAAAGGGAACCGATGGCTCAGACTAGTGAGGAGCTGGGTTCCCAGTGGAGCGGGCTACCTGCCCGTCTCAGCTGGGCTAGCTTACAGAGGGAGGGAGGGCTGCACACGCACAAGTGATCTGCAGCGACTTCTGTGCAGCCTCGTCTTCCCAGCAAGTGCAGGAGGGAAGGGAGGCCCTCACAGCCCAAGCGAAGGCGGAGCTGCGACTCCCAGTCCCATCCCTCAGTGTGAGGTGGGGCGGCCTTTAGTTCTGGGATGTCTTACAAAAAAATATTTGAAGGAGAAAAGTGTTTGAAATTATATATATTGAAATTTTAATTATGGGAATATTACATCTTTCAAAATGATCAGCCAAGTAAAATTGCCCCATACTTTCTCCGCACCCCTCAGGCCAAGGCGGTAGCAGCTGTTTTTTGTTTGTAACAGATACGGAGGGTTCTATGGCGAAAGGCCAGCTTCCGCAGGCTTTCCTGCCGTGGGTCCTGGGTGTGTGGTCCCGTCACGGTCCTTAGGCAGACACGTCCACCCGGAGCAGGCCAGTCCCACGCCAGCCTGCAGGGGACGGATGGAAGCAAACGCGTGTCTGCATGTATGTGTCAGGCACACAGCCAAGTCACGCTCCCCTAAGTAAGGATCGCCACCAAAGTACACAAAAGACTGATCAGAAAGTAGGAAAATAAACATTGGGGCTTTAATCCTCTTCAACAGATTTAAAAACTAAACATTCACATTTAAAATTTACCAAGCATGCAGCCCTCGGGTGTTGAGAAAGACCATCTTACTAGGGACATACCTTCAGGTCATTAGTACCTGGCTGAATATTAGATACAAATATTTCTACACGTATTTGAACAAAACAGGACAAGAGTAACTGATTCTGGCACATTCGTCTTATTCTAGGGGAGAATGGTTAAGGTGCCGCCAAAGAAAAGCCAGAGGGTGGCCACTCAGCAGCCAGGTGGTGATTAGATGGACTCACCTGTCCACCAGGCACACACAGGTGTTCTGAGCTAGAACCAAGTTACACTCCTGCCTTTCCTCCCGAGTGAGGTGCAGGGGGCTGAGGCCTGCTGCGCTCGCATGGCAGCGAGAAGCAGAAGGCGCACAGGGCCGATGGCGTGGCCCTAGCCAGACAGCACAGTTCCCAGAGACCTTTTATTCGTTTTAAATACTTTGGTGTCATCAGACTTTGAGCAGATGTAGCATTACTCACGATACCCGAGGGCCCGGTGGTGGCCTGTTCTGTAAGCATGGGAACTATTAAACATGTACTGAAAACCAATCAACAGGCTCCCAGTGAGAGTCCAGTAACAGCTGTGCAACGGGCCTTCCTCCTGGTCAGCGCCGGTTACTGAAGCTTCCCAACAAGGTTTGGGAAAGGTCAGGAGTATTCACGGACGAACCAGCCTTTTGGAGTTACCGCCAGTGATTACCCACAGCCCACAGCCGGAGAGAAGCTACGCTTCCTTCACCACCCCCACCAGGGCGGGCCGCAGGGTGCGCCCGTGCAGCTTGTAGCCCACTTTGTTCACCAGCGCCACCGTGCCCGGCTCCTTCCCCTCCACCGGCGCGTGGAACAAGGCCTCGTGCTCATAGGGGTCGAACTTGGCGCCCACGGGGTCCAGCCTGAGCAGGCCGTGCTTCGTGAACACCTTCTGGATCTGGACCTCGGTCATCACCAGCCCCTCGTAGAGGTTCTTCAGGTGCGGGTTGTCCTCTGTGATCTCCTCTTTGGGGACACACTGTGTGGCCTTCTCCAGGATGTCTGCGACCTCTAACAAGTCCTTGCAGAAGCCCTGGATGCCTGCAAAGTCCAAGAAGAACATTTGCATCCACCCATGTCAACTGAGTGGGTGACTCAAAACTGTAACTTCAACGGCTTGACTGAGAAGGAAATACCATCCCCCAGCCTTTTCTGGGCTTAGACAAGGGCTAATTAGGTGTGAAGACTGGCAGCTGAAAATGTGCAGAACCACCCCCCTCAGCCCTGCTCCAGCCCAGGAGACCCGCCTGCTCCCACAGAGCCCACCACCCCTGCCCCCCGCCCAACAGCCAGACTGCACAGGGCCTGGGGCACATCCCTGGCAGCGACTTAGCTGCTGTGTGGTCCTGTTCAGCCTCACTGGGTCTCAGCCCCGTCCCAGTGACGGTGGGAGGACCGAAAGGGTCATGCAGGCTTCGAGGGCCTGGGACACTACACGTGTTCCATGTTAGCAACTATTGGGCACACTGTGGGGTAAGAGTTACCAAGACTTCGCCTTCACCTAACAGAAGACAGAACGTTTGAAAGGCCACTCAAAATATACGGCAGTGTATTACATAATTTTTGTGGTTTCAAAAAAAAGGTCCACATGCCGACCGGAAGTCAGGGATGGCGAGAGCACCCACACTGGCACCTGCTTCCACCAAGGCCCCGCCCGCAGGAACCAACGGCGGCCTTGGGCTAACAAGCACAGCGAGTAGGCGCGCGAGGCCACCGCTACCAGCGCGGGGCCACCGCTAGCGTTGTGATGAGTGGCAGGTCACGAGCCTCAGTGATCTCTAAAGTGGGAAGGACAGGGACAAGTACTCAAGGGTGACAACACAGACAGCACCTGAGGGGATCTCAGTGGTCAGTGTGGTGCTGGTGATGCCAAGGAAACAACACCAGAGAGGCCGACCTGCCAGGATCGCCGCAGGTCCACACCGAGGCTCCACGTGGAGAGC